GAAAATCACTGACCATCATCACGCGTACAATAGACGCAGTGAAATTACTCACATGAATCTCGTCACATGCAACGGCACAGCAAAAGTCTGGCGCAGTGCATCAAAAAATTTATATAAGCATCTTCATGTGCTGAACTCTTTAAAGCTTTGCGCAGTATCGTCCTGGCGATAACGCAGAAAACATTAAGCAACCAATTCCTTGTACATGAAGACGGAATGTTATGAATATGAATCGTAGTGGTGAGTATGAATCAAAAATACGACTGCATTGCTTATTTTTTTTTTTTACCTCAGTTGCTAATTGACAAGACTTCCTTATTTTGTAAGCAATGTTGCGTGGGAGTTGGCTTATTTTCTTCAATGGAGCATGGTATACGCCAAAGATTTTGGAAGTAAGGATGAGGAGCACCGTATTTATAAGTTACATTTAGAAGCAATTAATAAAAATCCTAATCTACTGGAGAACCGTGACATTGAAAAAACCCTGGGGTCAGCAAGACGGGCGTTAAATAATTTTAAGGTTTGTAGACTTTTTAATAACGAAGGCCAAAAAGTACTAGGATACGTCTGAAAGCCCAAGGGATACGTCTGGCGGGTTGTACTTTGATACGTTGGATACGTCTAAAGAGTATCAGGCACAACTTCGAATTTCGGGATTGTTTTTATTACTAACCTTTCCCGAGAAGTGCTAGGATACGTCTGAAAGCCCAACGGATACGTCTGGCGGGTTGCACTTTGATATGTTGGATACGTCTAAACAATATCAGGGTTTCTTCCTCTATTAATTCATTTAGGGAGAGGCGGATTCGGATAAAGTCACTAGCCTTTGGCAAAATAGCTCGTCTTTCTTAAATATGCTGAGAACGGCTGTAGATCTTAACACAAGCAAGATTCTCAATCGAGTAGCTGATTTACATGATGATGTCAGCCAGACAATTTTTAACGTCTCTAAAGATAAATTACGTATCGGTAACACATTCAAGTTTCATTACATCTTGTATTCATATCATCCTTTTCTCCAACTTGGAATAATATTAAGTATTGGTAATACTGTTAGAACGTAAGAGAACTCATTTTTATGAAAAGTCACAAGAATCGCCATCAAAAAAGACCAAGGCTGACTATATTATCGATGAAGACACACTTAACTCGAAAGAGAGTGACTCGGAAGAGAATTGTGTGGAAATTAGTGAAGAAAAGTTGCAAGAATCACCAACAAAAAGGACCAAGGCTGACTATATTAGTGATGAAGACACACTTAACTCGAAAGAAGGTGACTCGGAAGAGAATGGTATGGAAGTTAATGAGGCAAAAGAAATTGAAGATCTTTTTCAGGTATTATTTCTTTTATTACTTTCTTTTTGTATAAATTTACGCTTAGATATTCATTTCTATTTAATCTCCTAGGATGAAGCAGAAATTCGCAATAAGTTGCTCGGTATCTTGGTTGAATACCAAAATAAAGATAAAAAATCAGGAGAGAATTA